GAAAAAAAAGTTAAAGTCCAAAATTTTCGAAGTTAAAATTTTTTTTTGTGTTTAATCAATAAAGATTGAATTCAAAAACGAAATGCATTCTGCTATTTTATCAAATTTCACAAACTACAGAATTTGGGAAAAATTTGTTAGATCTATGAGCATTTTGTATTATAACGTCCAAAGCCATATTTCCCTGTTCTGAAAAAGACATTTTGTTTAAGTACCTCGCCTTATTGGACATAATTCTGGAAACAATTCTACTTATTGCGATGGCGTTTTCCAGGATGCATAAATCTACGTTATGAAAAAGGCACGAGGATACACATAACTAGCCCGAGGCCTAACAATATAGCACTATGAGACCTCAATGAACCGAAAGCACCTGGTTCTATGTATCGTTTTTCGACTTTGCAGTCTCAGGGGCGGCTTGAATTTTGTTCCCGTAGTACCGGTTTATCCACCTTGGTTTTTGGCCCCAATTTCTTATAGTGTGAGAGAAAGCATCGTTATATTATCGACAGCTAATAGAATGTATAGTTAGTATTTATGAATTTCTTAAAAGATGTAAAAGTTTGAATTAAGTATAAGTTAAAATCAAAGAAAAATAAGGTAAAATAAACATCATATCCGTTTAATACACAGACTACAGGTGTTTTGCGAGATTTTCACTCGTGTCTGTCTCTCTTTCTTCTAAGGTGTGGTTTATAGTCTTGATAATTGGGATTGTTTTATCCCTGTAGTTTCTCTTACCTCTAAGCTTAATTTCGCATTCTTGAACTTCGCATTCTTGCACAAAATAAGTATCGACGACCGCTGGTTCCTTGGCCTCTAGAGTTTTTCTAGAATTACCATCTATAATAAATATTAAATTGTCCCCATACGCCGCGTAACGTTTTCCATGTTCGGATTGATCAAGCGTTTTTAAAAGAATCAGTTTCCCTAAATAGGCTGGCTGTTCAGTTTGTAAAGTAATCTTTCACTACTTTGTAAATATTTTTGAGGTACTTTCGTGACTTTAATTCTTCAAGAACTAAAGGCCTCTATACGTTGTTGAATGCACCTGAAATATTAAAAAGCAATTCGACCGCGTTACGTTCTGTGGATTCTTGCACTGCTTTTTTATTAGAATTTTATCTACTGTTGATCGCCCTATCATAAATTCATATCGGGAATCCGAAATGTTTCCTTGTTTAAGCAAGCTAGTTGAAAGACGAATTTTTATGAGATTTTGCTGAGTACTGATAAGAAAATATAGGTTGGTATGATTTGTTCTGCGTCGTTTGTATTTAAAAGGTTAAGAGTGTTTATCTTTAACCTGCTTTGTTCTTCCGTATCCGTCTCAGAATGGTCATCAACAACGTTGACCACCAACAATCGCTCGACTGTTCCTTTGGAGTCTAAAGTTTCAGTACTTTTTTCAGTGCGGAGTGCACTCATGACTTTTTCGGTTCTCATATTGTCGGCTGCAAGTTTGTAGACTACACATTATTTCTCCTCATTGCCGTGGATTGTAACGAACTTTTTTCAGCTCTTTGTTTTCACCTGTGTAATCGCTCGAGAGTATTTTCTTACCTGCTGTTGGCATCGGAGTCTCAGTGCTGCTATTCGGTTGGTATCTGCACCTGACTTTTTGATTCACTGGTATCTATGAGGCAATCTATATACATAACGCTTTAAATGAGACGAATAGCTATTCCACCAAGGATTCACTTTCCTTGGCGCTTTTCGGTACGGTATGGATTTCTCACAGAGTTCTGTTAATTCACTTGTGAGAGTGTCGGCAAATCTGTCAAGGTTCACCCGGTAGTCCAGCAATGGTTGGCCCCCGGGTTTACATAGATGTTTCTGTCTTTTAAGGTATGTCGCGTAACGCGGGAGCAGATTATAGTTTGTCGTGCCCCATTTCGTACTGCCCTATATAGTAGTCTGAATATGGGTACTCCGAACGCGCCGAACGCGAGACGCGTTAGCGACCGCCGACCAAAGCGAATAAAGTTGGTGCTACGGGAGGCCAAATTCCAAGCCCTGTGCCTGGGGCTGCAAAGTCAAAATATGACATGTAGGACTAGGTACAACTGGCCAATTGAGGTCGGACTCGTAGTGGTATGTCGTAAGGCCCCGGGCTTGTTACGTGTATCCCTGTGCCTGTTTCAAGGTACCGGGAAACGCCATCGCGAAGAGAGTAGAGTTATAATTTCTCAGAGTTATGCCCTAAGAAGCGAAGTACTCAATTTCCGTCCTTCGGACGGGGGAAGCACGGCTTAGTCCAGTAATGGTCCAGTAGATAGTGTGCTTTCCAGCTCGGGTATCAACTTACCAAAAACTTTCCAATTGGCTGCTTTAACATTGAATCGTCAGGTTCACCCCACGTAAGTTTTGCCCTACACCCCACTTCGATTGAACTGGATCCCAATGCCCGAATGGCCTAATCATGAAATTCACTTTCCTTCAACTGACCATTTGTTCAGGGACTATGACAATTCCTGGGTTGTCACCGTTACGTCAATGAATGATTTCCCTCGTAAGGAGCTGAATATAGGACTCTCTTTGATTCTATTAGGAACCTCTAAGCTAAATTCAGTAAAGAAGTTTGAAAGTTTCTCTCCTCTGATGTCGAAATCTGGTATTACAAAGAATATCGAGCATTCGCATCCATGCAGATAAGAACTTGTTTGCCTTCAAGAGTCGTGAAGACTTTTCTGAGGTATTAAGTGTGAACTTCAATAGGATCCCTATGTTGGAAACAGTGTGACATCGCATAAAATGAATAACCAAGCCCTTTAATGAGAGCAAACATGCAGTGTATATTGCTAAGTTCATGAATGAGCAGCATTTTAAGGAAAGCATTAACTACGATAGTAGCCAATTTCGATTTCTCCCGTTTAAGGGTTTTTGCAGCGACGAGAGCTTGGCCAAATCTCTAACTGTGTAGCTTAGTGAAACGGCATTCGTGGCGTAGGGCTCCTGTACTAACAGCACGTCTAGTTGCTTTTTTTTCACTAGAGCATACGCTTCTTTTGCAGAATTAATGTTTAGATTAAGATTTTGGAACTTTGTTTGACTACTTGGATTCAAGACGGTGCTTTCACTTGTTTTGTTACTTGGTGGTTTGTATTCACTGTTGTTTTGATTGGTTGTGTTATTGTTATTATTATGATCAATAATACTATTATTATCGTCTTTTAAATCATCAGAGAATGTCTGGGCGAAGATTCCAGAGCTCCGAACTACTTGAGGCCTGGCCGGACAGAATTGTCTTGCAGACACTCAGCTTCTTCAGGTTCCGTCATTATTCCAGCCGTCTTAGGATTCGGAAAGAACCAAGGATGACCGCTTTCTGCATATAGGCAGCGAGAATCTCAGCCTGACTACGTCAAACTGGTGTTGTTCGTAGCTCTGTTAGAAAGCGGTCCCTCATCCCTCCAAGGGCTATCATTATTATTATTGTTCCTGTTGATACTGTTTATATACTTATTATACGAGGCCCGGGAAGGATACGCGTTTTTAATCGGGTGAGGCTTACAGAGCAATGACGAATCCGAGCCATACTATCTTTCGGATCTACTCGAGTGTCTCGTCTAGTTAGGAATGTAATGCATACTTTAATCTGAGTAGAATCATATCACGATTGCAATCACGTATACATGGCCAGATTCGGGGACTGGCCCTGAGCGGAAGCACTAGAAGACAGCGCCCGTTAGGTCAACCAAACACCCCTTCGAACGTTCTGAGTCACAGTGGGTGCTGAGATATCCAAGTTCTAGGGTCATCTTCTTGATCCACCCTGGTTATTGGTATGGGATCCGGTTTTCTTCTGCAGGCTCTCTAGCCTTACGCGTGAATAATGGCCCCACCGCGAATTCCCAGTAGGGCCGATTGTTCTTACGGATATTTTCTTAAGTACGCTTGATTCCATATTTGTTTAGCGCCTTGAGGGCAGCAGACCTTGTGATACGTGTTTTCTGAAGATACGTATTGTTTCTAAAAAAATATGATGCACTAGGGTGATTTTTAGTAAAAATGTTACATAACATTTTATGGTATAATAGTAGTAGAAATAATAATAATTAAGAAATTAAAACAAATTAAATTGAATTTAGTTGAATTAAATAAGGCAACTTTCGGCCACTACAGCTTCAGAAAAGGCTGGTTTTTGTTCTTGGTACTTGAGAGTTTTCTATGTAAGAATTATGGCAACCCCCTTTCCCGAAACCAAGCACCATAGCATACAATAATTGCTACGTACCGCTTTTATATATCTGTTTGAATATGCTCCTTAGTTCTTCTTTGTGCTGGTATACACTTCTAGCATTCTCATATAATATAATTCTTGACTGGTTTTGATGGTCTGTCATTATTGATGTTTGTATTCTTCACCGGTAGAGAAGTATTCTTTAATTGTGATGTCTGTATTATCCATGTCTAAACTTGAATTCCGGAATTAGTTTCGATATTCAGCTCATTAAACTTTTTTTCCGGAACGTTGTTTTAAATTATTGGCTTCACATTGGACATGATAATCCTCTTAATTTTTGCAATTAAGGGTCTGATCTCAAGTTTGTGTGACTCAATACTGATGTGTTGGTGTTTTATTTGCTACTTTTACAGCGTATTCTTTGATGGGTATCTCTTCCACTGCGTCAACGACAATGGCTTGTTGCTTTCTTGGACACGACTCTTATTGGGCAATTACTGAGTAGGATGTTTTCATGACATTGTGCGAACTGGTAGGGTTTCAGTGAAAACGACAAAAAAAAATAACCAATTATCAAGTATACTACTTTTCTGCTAAGATTCGATTTTTTGAACGCGCACCACCTGAATTTTTTTCTCATTATTTTCAACGTATATAATAAAAAATTAAACTGACACTAAGAACGTATATAAACACGTCTTAGTGTATCGAGGCCTCAGGTCCAAATTCAAGAAAAGTTACGTCTTCATTAGCATGATCTATTTTGTCGATAGATCTATATTCGTTAAAAGAATACATTTTTATATTTTTTTAGCTGACGGAAGTTTAAGCGATACGGCTGTTAGCCTTCATGTGGAAGAGACTACAAGAAGACAACGAAAAAGTTCCCCGAGTAGCAAGAGCGGAAGTGGAAGTAGCAGTGGCGGAGGAAGTTCTATTCAGTATCAAGCTGGGCTTGGAAAAAAAAGTAACAGTACAAGTCAACTGTCAGCTACAGGTAATACAAACATTCAGTGTTATTTATTTTCAAGTGATAATGGTTCGCCGCTATTATTATTAGTTATACTAAAAATCTATTTTTGATATTTCAATTTATTAAACTTATTATTATACTAGATCACTATGTAGAAACTCTACTAATTTATGGGATTAATTAGTCATTTAGGGTTTGTATTGTCTGAGAAAGACGAGCAACGAGAATCAAAATGATGTACTTTCGTAAATGATTCTGTTTATAGTGCAACAATTTTTATGCTCTGAGAATGACCAATTCTATTTCACATATCACCTTTGATTTATTGAATTGTTAATTTTTATCTATGAATTTAATGGAAAATGAAATAAACGACAAAAAAGAAAGCTTATGTGAATATGTAAAAAATTACTGTGCTAGATGTAAACGAAGAAATGAGAGTTTCGATTATGACTACGATATAATATACAATCTTATTTTGCTAAAAAAATTGATATTTTATTGTGATATACAAAAATTCTCGAATATAAATTTTCTGGAAAATTTTATATCTCCAAAAACATTTCATTATGCTACAAGCTATAGTGCTTCTAAATTCTTAAAGTTATTTGCCATCGACTTCGCAATTACATTTGAATTTTTTTAACGATAATCGATAATCATCGACAATATTCAATTTATATTAATTATTTTCTTCTAATATTAAAAGTTTTTAAATATTTTACAACATAATTTAAACCATTTCGTTTATGAAACTTAAATAATTACATCTTTAAAATGAGCATCAATTATTGAAACGCGCGTTCATAAATCGTATAATTAGAAGAGTAAAAAATAAATAAAATGAGAACGGTTTTCTATTTTAATAACTGCTCTAACTATCACTTATTACTTAGTCATAATATAATTGTAAAGAATAAAAGGAAAAACGTTACCACCCAGTAAACACCATGATATTGCTGTTATATAACTTTGTTATATTTGTTATGTTGCAGAAATATAACATAGTCCTAACATACATCTTACTACTTCCCATTAAACAACATACCGTTGTTTTGCACTACATCGTGTAACTTGAACCGGTGCCTTTACTCACCCGGCTATCGACTTATTGAACAAAATGACTATTACATATATATCAACGATAATTTTTTAACATACAACTATTTTATTAGAAAATATCAAAAACAATTTTTTGAAATAACCACTCAATAATACACATTTCATAATTATTCCATTTATTTATCACTAAGATTAAAGATGAAAATAATCAGTAATGTTGTAAGTATTGTAAAGTCATTAGTAATTTTTTTTTTAATTAGATAAATTGTTATCTTGACATAATAATACATCATACTTTTTTTATTTTGATGTTAACATGACTATAGGAACATTTATCTTTCTAATTTCGTATGTGGTAGATTACATAGATATAATCGAATGATGTAATATCTACGTAACATAGTTGTAACAAATGTTATATCATGTTAATATATAATTGTTTAATATAACATTCACGTAACGTGGATACAACACATGTTATATTACATTCATATAACTATATAATATAACGTCCACACATCACAAAAATAACAAGTGTAATGTCATGCTAAAGTAATGCTAAAATTATAAAATGTGTAGCCCAAAATACCATCAAAGGTCAACTTAATTTTTGACTTGTTAGGATGAATTTGTGTAATAATAACATCATAAAAATTATATAACACCGATATAAAAATGTAATATTTTGGTTTCATTGCATAAAAGTAACTGTTATATTACTTTTTTAAACTTACTTTATTCAACAGTTATACTATATACACATAACTAACATCAACATAATATGTTATGTGTATGTTATAGAACAGCAAAGTTCAGTGTTTACTGAGTATTTCAACGCTTTATTATTATCAAGTTTCAGTGTAATATTTGATACATATATAAAATTTACTTACAGAGGGTGATTCAAAATTCTACGTATAGATTTTACATACGTAAATTAGATTAAATTTGAATCGTTACTTATTTTGCTGTTTTGCACTATTTGCAAAATTGGGGTTATTATTAGGTCACAAAATCGATCAGTCCGAAAAAAGAGTCTCTTAACCAATTGAATCCACGCAATTCTGTATGCAATTAAACATGTATAATAAATTTATTTGTTAAAAAATCTACTGTATGACATATCTGAAAATACTGTTTTGAGTATAATACTATTTATCGGAGTAACTTGAATACAATAAAATAATGACTGGTCGAGTAAGTTTCCGGTATTTACATAATCAGTGGCAATATGTGGCAATTATTTATGTATGTAATGATGATAATAGCAAGCTAGTTGTAGGCCTAGATGATTGTAATTTTCGGGATGCAGTGATATTTTTTGTCGTTGAATTCGATGACGATATTGTCTCACCTGTAATTGTTTGTGGGTTTTACCACAATGATTGTGGATAAAAATAAGTATCAACGTTCATGTGATCATATTTTATTCTTAAATGTTAATCTAGATAACTCAAAGTAATTTCTTAGTTTCTTTGTGCTTGTAGACTTTTGGATGCATCTTCGATTTTTCTTCTTTCTCGATTTCATTCTCTTTTGGACTCCCTTGTTCTCACTACTACACGCAGAGAAATATATAGTGAAAATTACCCTGAATTTTATAGTAATTTGGTGATACTGTAGGGTGAGGGTAAAAATTACTATACACATAGTAAAAATAACTGTGCACATTGTTAACATTACTAAACTGCATAGTTATTTTTACTCTAATTTCACCTTAAAAATTACTATGCAGTTTAGTAATTTTAACTTGTATTAAGTGTAATAAGAGCATTATAGGCGGAGAGCCAGTGACACTAAAAGTGCACCTAAAAAACTCAATTATTTTCTTTACGCAATTTTTTGAAATTATTTTAAATATAACCAGTATTTACTTCGGAATTATCCTTCAATACTTTTCCGATCAATCTATCACTATATAATGTAATTATGCACATTGCGCGGACGAAGTCCCGGGAATCAGCTAGTTAATAGATAATATTAAACTAGTAGTAGCGTATAACGAATTAAAAAATCTAAAACATTATTTCCTTGCTACTTTCATAACGGTTCTTGCATTTCCTTACTTCTTATCGCGAATAAAAATCTACTCTTTTAATATTTTTTTGAATGGTAATTAGATAGACAGAAAAAAATTTAAGTGACTTTCTAAAAATAAAGACTATTGAAATATTTGTTTCAACATTACTTGTATGAAAACAAATTGGTCGTTTTAAACAGAACACAAAGATCTTCAGGAAAATTTGAATATTGATATTTCAGGAAAGATGTTGAAAAAAACATTGAACAAGAAAGTCACGAATGTCAAGAAATTTAGATGGCTAAAACATAAAAACAACAATCCTGAGCAGAAATACAAGAAATGACTATAAATAATTCGTCAGAAATTGGATGGTGATTATTTATGATAGGCGGTGACACTAAAAGTGCACTTATACGAACTATAAAATTTTGCATAGGAATTAATAGTATTTGATCATAGGTATAATATAGGCCTAGTTTGCCAGAGTTTATCTTGGCAGAAATATTTTTTATAAATTTTTTTGTATGTATTTCTTTGCTATTTATAAGTGATTCGGGAACATTCATAGTTGAGAATGGGGGCAAAAGTATTTGAATTACGTCTATAGGATTTACTCGCATTATTCAAATGTGAGAGTAAAAAATAACGTAAAGAATAACCGTCAATTAACATAAAGATTATATCAAAACTGCAAAAAATTTGAAAAAAGTACAGATTCTGATAATCCCTTGTCAGAAATAATATGATCGGTACAAACAGTTGTTATGGCATAATACGTTCATTTCATTTGGAATTTAGAAAGTTCTCTAATGTTAGAGGAGTCTAATAGCAAAAGAAATTTAAATATAAAATTAATAGAATACAAAAATGAGGGTATTTCAAATTTGTGAAACTTATAGAAATCATATTCAATCTATTGTGTTACTTATTAACTTCCCAGTGGGAAGTTATACACCGAAAAAATTGTTCGTGAAAAATTATCTTTAAAATTAGGTTAACTGTGTGATATCTTCAAAATCTGAGAAATTTTACAAACTACGCGGATGACTTATTACAAAACCATCAAAGTAAATTTTACCAAGCACGATTGATAACATTTCCTCAACAAAAAAAATCTTTAGTCTTACAAATAAATAAAAAAGATGTTCTTTCACTTATTATGAAAAAAATGGACAGTACCAAGTCAAATAAATTCCAGGCTCAGGATTAAAATTTTCCGACGACATATACCTACTATTCGGATATCTATAAATGAACACGTGAGCGTAGTCTTGTTCATACTTGGATAAATTGAAAGGTCCGTACATGTTCAATTTTAGTATTTTCTTAAATTTCTTCGATAAACGTTCAAATTGATCAGTATGTGTAAAAAACGTAGAAGCGTTTTGAATTGTGATGTTTCTTCACTACATTTGTGATAATAATACAAGTGACATTGTTTTTGATGGCGAATAATTTTCTAACATGCATAAGATGAGCAAAAAAAATTTTTTTACAGTGAAAAATTCCACCGAAAATAACAATGAAAAATATTTAAAAAATTTGTTAACATTTAAACAGAAATATTGAGATAAAATTCACCATAAATTTCTCAGTAAAATTTACTCAAAAACCGACGATAAAGTACCTGAGTAGAAAACAATTCAGGATACGGATCCGGGTCTGATCCGGCATCTCAATTACCCTATTATGGTTCAAATAGGTAAATCTTATTATAATTCAATTAAAAATGTAACGCTTTAAGTATTTTCGTCCAAATCGAGCTAACTATGACAGCCCTGACCAGGACATCCTTGCCAGGCCTTTATTATAATTTTTTTTATTAAAAAAAAAAAAAAAGCACTTTAACATTTTCTTTTTTATAATGTATCTTTATAAGAAATATTATCTATTAATTATACTTAATGAAATTTTCACAGAAAATTGAATAATTGAAAAT